CTCATGCCATTCTGATGTTTACACACAATGAAGAGTTGTAATCAGGCCTCTAACTGGTTGATCTTCACTCACAATTATGTATGAACTTGAAACAGTTTGACGGCCAACCACTGAACACCACTCTTTTGCAATCAGATAATATTTACTGAGAAATTCGAGCAAAACCTACCGCCTCCCAGAGCATGTCCGACTTCGACCGATTGCTCCAAATTCTTCATACCGACAAAGGAATTTGTTCACATCTTTTTTGCAGCAGAACGCTGGGCTAGTAGTTCCTTGTTTCAAAAGCTTCACTTTCCGCTACCATATGACTCTTCTTGGACTGAGATTGAATGTGAATCATTCCTAACAGCTATTTCGAATATCCATTCTCCAGCGAGTCCCGTCTATGGTTATTTCAAAGACGTTTTTCTGTAAGAGATATATCTAGTACATTAGAAAGAGGATAGAGGAGGATAGCTTGCCGTGTTCTTTACCAACAAGTTCACCTACTTGTATCTTGTTACCAGTAGACAAACTAAAGTGAATTCCGACCTTGGTCATCTGATTGCTGGGCAATGGATAGGACGTGGAGGTAAATACTTTACAACCAAAGTGAATTGGTCGTTCAAGCAATGAACAAGTGTAAACAATTCCATTCGTTCAAATTTACTTGCTTTCATTTCGTTTTTCTTTAGCTCTGACAACTTCAGCCTCATGAACCATGGTGGCCTGGTCGAGTTTTTGCAGTCAGTAAGTTTTTATTTTGCGTGACTATGACTCATTTTGCAGTCGTAAGTTTTTATTTTGCGTGACTGTGACTCAGGATAGAAAACGAATCGCTTTTGTTCCTTCGCGCAATTTATTGACGCAGTATGGTTAGACATATGACCTACTCTTGCAGCGTTTATTACAACTTGCTCAGGGTTTATAGTTTTGAGGAAGCAACAAACGTTGCAACCTAAAGGATGTAATCCGGCGAGTCATTGACCATAGCTACTTTTTTTCGAGAAGCGCCACCGATTATCCGTGAATTGCGGTGTCCTCTTCCAAGCTAATCAACTTTAACATGTATTCTACTCGAGTTGTCAATGGTTCTGAAACTTACCAAGTGCTTGATAGAGGGCCGACACGTTAGGTAGTGTCGATACTCCCTGGTTACCAGGCCGATTTTTTTACGAGCTTGGCTGTCTCGCTGCGCACGTTTCACCACCAACCGAAGAGGCATATCCGGTCCATTGCTGTATATTCAAAACGCACAACGCACAGGCACTGTCACCTCGTACGGAAGTGATCGGGCGCCTCAATAAAATGCAAGGTGAAAAATAGGTATTTGGACATCAAGCTTGTGAAAATGTGCATCGCTTGTAAACTCATACACGAATGATCCTGTGCCTGGTACCTGTGAGTTGATCATCAAATTAATTCCAAACTTCGAGAGTTTGTTTCACACCTAAGACTTCGTGAAGCTTAAATCTTACGTGACAGTCCGGAGAAGATGTCGATTATTTCCAAAAGATGAACTGACATAAAAACCGGAATAGGAATTTAATCAATTAAAATGTCGTGAACTGTCAAAAGTACTCGAGTGAAACCAAAACCCGCAATCTCTAGGTTACAATATAGTTCCCCCTTCCAACTGAGAGAGCGGCTGGATGTTCGACTACCGTCCAAAGTCCAAGATTACAACAGGTTATGCTTCCTGTACATAAGTAAGTTAGACTTCAAGCATAACCTATTCTTTTTCCAGACTGTCTCAGTGTCTTCATTTCAAAAACCGCCGGAATCAAGTACTACCAGACAAAGTCGAGTGACCAGACCACGGAAAATCAAGCATGTAAATTTGATGCACTGGGAGGCAAGACACTTCTATCGAACAAAAAGTCAAAGGAACATCAATCAGCCAACTCAGCGTCCCAACGTGATACCCTCCTCCAATAACACTTTGGGCACGAGTCGTTCTCGAAGTGAGCAACGACAACCCCGGTCACATCGTGTAACCAACGCTGCCGTTCATTCCCCAAGACCACTAACTCATGTAAATAGCCAACGACAGAAACAGACAGTTTTCCCGGCCATAAAACTTAGCCAATCCGAGTTTCGAACAATTGTTCAAAAATATGAGACGGATCCGGTGGTCAGACAGCAAGGTGAGTCTCGTTTGATGTAGAGAGTGAAATCGGGAGAAAAATCAATATAAGATAATTCCTTTGGCTTGCAAACGTTTTGTTTGCAGTCCAGGACATGTTCAAAGTGCTCAGTTGAATGACACTCCCTCCTTACCTAGTTGTTCGTATACAGATTTTGAAGAGTACATAATATTCTCTCATGTGATTGGCTAATTGATATGCACACTTCCTATAATGTTATTGGCCTTTTAAGATTTGCGCTGCGTTGTGGGCCGTTCGTCTGGTATTCCATTGGTTGTTTGTATAACCTCATTGTTGTGTTTAGGTCCGTTTCTGACTGTTACGTTCCGATTTTGTGCTGTGTTCTGGCCTTTCTTATTTGAAATTGGTTGGTCATAGTGTTGACTGTTAATTTTCTTAGTTTCCTTCAGTCTGATTTATCTGTTCTTGGTTTGCAAATTGGTTTCATTTTTTTTAGTTTTCTGGGCCGGTAGTACAGCCATGTTTAATTTCGTTCTTTCTACCTCGTGATAGCTAATTTGGATGTGCTTTCAAGATAAGTATGGTGCATCTCTTTGTTGGGTCAATAAGTATATCCATCTTCAACCACTCCATTCGATACTAGTTCGGGAAGGTTAATCACTCCCCTAGGATTTCCTGTCTCTTAAGTAGAAATTCGCCCCGGTTTGCTGTGCGGCTTTGAGTTGCGTAGTTCCACAGTTCTTCTACTCGCGTTGATCAATAGAGTGGGTCAATTTCAATGATTTGTTGATAGTCTTTCTAATACGGTGCCCTGCTTTCATGTATTCGCTCTATTTGACCTCATATGAGTCAAAATGTGAACGGTTCTCCAGTAAAATTTGAGTGAAAATTGACCGTGCCTTTTGGTTACAAGCCTCTGTTGTAGACAGCGTCCTTCCAGTTTGTCCCACGTAGAGCTTGTCACCACAGTGAATCTTGTACACAAGGTCGGTTCTCAACATTGTGTCTAGTCGTCCCTTTGGGTTTGATAGTGCTCCCCGTAGAGTGCTCGCAGGTTTGTGGGACATGATTTTATGCTACTGCCGTAGCAGTCGTGTAGACCTTTCCCGAAATATTCCTGATGTATGGAAATGTAATCCCTTCGCATTTCACCTGTGTTGTTGAAATGGGTTTCCTGAGATTCCGCTAAATGAAGCTTCCAGGGTATCCATTTGTCTGGAAGGCTTTGTACAAGTGTTTCATTTGTAGCATTTTTAACTCCGTAGCCATGCAGTGCATACGATATGTCTGTCAATTAGTTTGCTGACATTGGTCTCGAAAGAGTCCAGATCTACCTACGTGAACGGTGAGTTCACATCAAAAGAAACCAGTACTCCATCCTCTCCAGTACTTATATTCCTCAGTATTTCCAAGAATTCCCAAGCGTTTATGACTGAGTGTTGTGGTCCATGGATGAGCTATCTCAACCTCTTCCACAGGTTTTTAGTGGGTTGCAAGTTGGAGTTCCCGGAAGTGATGTGATTGATTGTAGCGATGTTGTCCCTTCATGTGTATTCGAAAGTCTGTGGAAGCCCAGAATAACCGAGTCCTGACCTCTCAGTTTCCAGTCATGTTCTTTTTTGATCCTTTGAAGTTATTCGGGCTTTTTTCAGGTTCCTGTGGATCCTCTTCGCAAGTATTTTGCTTTGATCATTCTCATTGCGGTGGTATGTAGTTATGTCGTTCAACAAACTTTCGCTTTATTTATGTGGTCCTGCCTTTTTGTATCCAGTTTCCTTATCAGTTGCTGGTGATTTTGGAATACAATGGGCGAAACCTATGCGCCTGATAGGACATTCATGAAAGCACAGAATAGTTGAGCATGCCTGTGCTGAGCTATCAATAAGTGCCCAGTGTTCTGGTTCGCTCCCGCACTTTGGTCGATTGATGGTGTTTATTCAACATGTCCATGGGAGTGCCACGGTATTGCATGTTGCTGGCTCAAGTTATGCCAAAGGCAAAGGTTTCAGAACAATGTGTAGGCGTAACATACTCTTTCAAGGGTTGCTGAAAGTCACTCAATGATCGGTTTCACGGTAAGTTCAACGTGAAACAAAACTGGATAGATTTCGAAAAAGGCTGGTAGTTGCACCCAACATGTCAGTAATGACTGTCCCCTTCAGTTGAATATTCTGCACCCAACCGCCTCATGTTTCAGTTGGTTCCATACCCGAGATATCACAATACATCTTTGTTTGAACGTAACACGCTACTCACAAGGTTGTTGAAGCCTCTTCAACATAGTACGACCGACTTCGCTCTTACTGGGGTTCATCAGAAAGGCGCAGCCCCCTAGTTTCGTCCGTGTTTATGTTCTAATTTAACGCAGTCAGGCTGTTTACAAAGCCCCTTAACGGATTTCAGTCCAGCGAACTCTTCCCACAATCCATTATGAATTGTTCCTTAACTGAAGAATATTTTAGAAATATTTGGGTAAAAACGCTATTTTAGTTAGAATACAATGTGAACTAAACAGCTACTAAACTCCGTGGACGTAGTTCATCGCCGCTCAAATTTTCAAGACGCGAAAGATGCTTTTCACCAACTTGGGATCGAGTGGATAACTAGTTCGCAGACTCCACCACTTTGATCTAGAGTTTTAGTCGTGGCGGTATTGTTGACTATCCTATCCCCAATCTACTCTCTGTCGTCATGTACAATCACATTTCATGTAACACCTTTATCCATCTTCATTTGGAAGGATATCCCTTTCTCGCTGGTTAAACAGAATGTGGAACAACTGATAAAACTCACTGACAGAGTTATCTGCTGTGTGAACTTCCAAGAGGTCATCATAAACCATTGTGCGTGACCAACTTTCACGAGACAACTTTATGAATCTAAACTAGAGCACACACATGCGACCAAATAGTAAGCAGCTGCTGAAATCACTTGAGGAGACGTATTCTTTTGTTACTTGAGTTGAGCACATTACTTCAGTAGTATTTATAGATTGCCGAGGCCCTCATTATCTGATTATCCACAAATATTCTCAACTGATTTGTCTTGTTTTTTCTTGCGTACTTTTCTCGTGTTCTTTGTAATGACTCAGTGGCAAGTTTTTTTGTTTGAGCAATGAGTGGCGATGAGTAAATTTTCAGATACGAAGTATATTGATTGTCCGTGATTTTCCAAAGGTAAGTGGACAGAACGAGGTAATCGCCCGTCCGTAGTGTCTCACTCAGCTCATATATCCCGTTCGATGTGCTGCTGAGATTCCGTTGAGCCTCATACTCTCATGACTTGGTGCGACGTTCTAAACAATTAAAGAAATAGACAAACCGTACGATTCCCAGGTCTGTGTTGGGATGAGGCCACTCAAGATTTCACTTACTCCGCGCAAATGCGAAATAAAAATGTAACATGACCAGAATTTAAAAACCTTGTTGAGACTTTCCGCTCAACAACCTCTGCATTCCACACAATTTTCACGCTCCCAGATTGCATAGTTGGTTTTGAGGACCTCAAAAACTATGCTAAATTTGATTTCTCTGATCCACGGTAATCAGGTTGCCCACGCTCAAAATCTCAAAATTTGCTTCGTTCAGATGGATGTTTATCAGCACATGGGGCGAGATGGCTCAAGGGGTTAGGGCGCGAATTTACTAAACGGAAGGACCTCCGCCACTCGACCTCCCCTGTCTAGGCTTGGGCAACCTGGTAGTATCCCAGTCCTCGTGCTTACTTCAGGTGCCATGACAGCCAGGCATTGGAAGGGTGTTACGGCTGAAGGATTTTATCAGCACATCTGACTCTGTAAATATAGAGTAGTAAAAGTGCAAAATTTAAACCATGTGGTGAATCCGGCTTCTATACATGAGGTCAGGTGGAGGCTAAATTCAGATGGGATCCTGCACAAATAAAGTGGCTGGGAAAAGTACGCCCAGCCAAAGTTCACACGAAGTCAAACTAAAGTGGCCGAAATGCGACGAAGCCCAGGTGACTGCGTTAAACTAGGCTCGCGATGACAAGGTCGAAAAGTTTTTCTCATTCAAGTGAAGAACCAGAAAAGGAGAAACAGGTTCTAAACGGAAACAACAAAACGTGAAATCTCGTTTTACAAAATGATAACAGGATAAAAGAATGAACGAGTTCTAGGCGATTATTCCCCTGTGATGACTGGCACTATAGTCCCATGTGTGTGGCCATTTGTGCAACAAATTTTTCCCGAGGAATCGTACTTCATTGGACCAACATAAGTTGGCCCAGTCCTAGTGATAGATATTACACACAGAGAGAAGCCGTTAAAGAGGGTCATCCTTCCTAATTGTTTCGTGGTAATTGTCCATACCCTTGTTTCATTGCTCAAGCTATTTAGTTGCGGGGCGTAACATGATCCACTTGTGATTATCAGTACCTGAGTCAACCAAATTTATGAAAATCTTATTTCTTTGGTAAACATTTTTACCTCCATCTAACCAGGACGACTATCTGCTCAGGGATTCTACCGTTTCCTTTTGTCGCGAGACTATTTGACCCTTACCCGAATGCGGAAGTTTGATGACCAAATGCAGACTATGAGATGTCCATTCTCCCACTATTATCTCCAATGTGCGCAAGTCATCGTTCAACCGGTAGCTGCTCCTTTCGAATTCACCTCACAGGATGGTGTGAGCGGCCCGATCATCTTCAGGAATCGGATCAACTATATCAGGGCACTTCGTCAACTTTTATTGTTGGGAACCCGGTGAGTATAAATCCAAACATGGCAATTTATTCACACAGCTCAACTTTAAGGATAACTGAAATTCACCTAAAGGTGGTGAGTTTTACTCTTGTTACACGACATTTAAATAATTCGTGGCTAATCGAAGTCCACAGCACTCTGAGTGTTTCAAGCCGTTTTGAATTTTCTAGCTTTCTTGAGGTATTGCACTGAGTATCAGTTAAGCTACAATGGAGACATCGTCCTACATATCAACCCAGAACAGGGTGAGTTTTGAAAACTTCACGTATCGTCTACGGTGACCTAAGTTTGGTTCAAAAAGGTTTCGCAAATTGTGGGAACTACGACTGAGAGCGTATTCCCAAGCGTATTCGCACAGTGCATAACATGCTCCAACCAGTCCGATACGTCAAGCCACGTGACCCAGCCTACCAAGTCATTAATATCCATGGGGTTAGCCCGACGCAATCTATCGCATAGCATAAGTCCATTATAAAGCCCTCCGACGAAAGTCACTTTTACTCCTCCAAACAGTCACTTTTTGAATGTGACAACCAACACTGTCATAAACGTGTCACGTGACGAATTTGACCTTCTTATTGTTTGATGATGAACCTTAAGTTATTCTCAACGTTTTGGAACAACTCTACTGACCAAAGTTACCATGAAGTCATCCAGTTATTCCCCTCTTATGGTATAACATATATATGAATAAGTATACATGTACTCTTTACTTGATGATGGTTACAGTTGAAATTATGTACGGTACGCACCGCTACGCACCACTAGGCCCCCTCGTCACCTCGATTGGTGATGAAGCGTTTGCAATCAAATTGCCCAGCTCAGCGAACAAGCCAACGACCCTGTACAAAAGAGTGTTCACGGGCACTATGACAAATTAGCGAAAATACGCGTAGCTTTGTTCCAACGTAGCTGGAAGTTAAAAGACCAGTGAGCGAGCAATCACTCAAGGATACTAACCGATCAGAAAGCTTTCATTGCTGGTTTGTCAGCAAAGAGATCCTAATGCGAAATACCAAACATATATTCGTCAAGGAATCTTCAGATATTTGGATATTTCGTTTGGGACACCTAGTTTAATACCGTAGTTCAGCTTTGGTACCTGAGTATTGTTCGCTGTGGGAACTGTTTGGTTAACAGTCCTCACACTTTCTGGGTTCCCGACTTGTAGGATCCTCATCAACCAATTCACTTATTAGCCGTTTCTTTGATTAAGCGGCTTTTCCAAATGATACGGCACTGGAATGAGATAGCAAGTCATGGTTCATTATCATCCAGGACGTTAAATTACACACAGGTTCTTTTCAGATACCTACTTTCCGTATGTATGTATGATTGTGTTCCGTGTATTCGCTTGCTCACAAAATAGTCGCATTATAAGAACTAAAGTACTGACTAGGTTGTGAATACTGCCATACGTGACAGTGCTGAGTGGAAATGGCCGAGAGGTGGGTAATGTTTAAGCAGGCAACGAAATGTGAAAACAGTAACCAGTAAATTTGGTTTACAAGAGGGACTCAACTGAATCTCTCGTTTATTATATTCGACAACTGAATGTGCTGCGTCTTCATGATTCAGTATATATATGTATATATATTTCAATAAAGGAAACTACTCACGAGGTTGTTGAAAACTCTTCGACAGCGCACGACCGGTTTCGCCCTTCGTGGGCCTCATCAGGTAGAAGCAGTCTCCTAGTTTCCGTCAACCTCATGTTCTACTTGAACCCAAATTGGCCCGTTTTCGAGAAATACACTCATTTACAAATCAATTTGGTCTTCACGAGAGACACGATATCTCGAATATCGTTTTAAGTAGAACGTAAAATTGACGGAAACTCGGGGACTGCGCCCACCTGATGAGCCCCAACAAGGGCGAAACCGGTCGTGCGCTGTCAAAGAGTTTTCAGCAACCCTGTGAGTTGTTTCCTTTATGAAAAAAGTGATAACTTAACTTAGTCACGTGGACAACTGCTAGCTCCGGTTAAGGAAGCATACGCAATGGTTTACCAGCTTTCGAACTGGACATGGCCTTTTGATTTGGGGACATCTGGAAAAAGAAATGGTGGCAATCGAGTTTTCGATACTAACAACACCATCAGTTAGATCCAGCCACAGCTTCAGTGGCATTAGTACTGCCTTTCCTACCATTTTTTATACAATCATCCAAAAAGTTAACGAGCCGAGATTTAATGAATTAAAACGGGTTTTTTGGTGTTTTGTGCAAGACAAATCTCCATTTCAAGCACTTTCCTTTCTAGATGTTTGCTTTTAGAATGTTTTGCCAAACCATCCACGCAACCGGTGGTACCCGGTCCTGGAAGAGGTCGGCAGGCTGAACCGGAATTGTTTATTTTCCCTTCTTTGATGACGGACCCAAGCAAAGAACAAAACCCACTGCAAGAGACCAGTATGCGAGAGGCATACGCCATTCCAATCGAAGTACGTACATGAGAGAGGTGCCTTGTCGTTGCAAGATCGATACACTGATGCGATTTCTCTTTTTTTTGTAACAGTCAAATTATAGGAACTCATTGACAACTAACAGCAGTTAGATCCGATAAGAACCCCTCGATCACCGACAAATCACTGATTTTTTTATTTGTCTTCATATACAACACTTAGAAGCATACCAGAACACCGGGAAATGGACCACCCATTTTGCAGTGATGTAGTTCTTCAAGTACAACTTATTCTCTATTTTAGCCAATTTCAAGATTATCGAGTCACACTAGCACACTACTTATCAAAAATGCACTACTCATAAGGTTGCTGAAAATCCTCCGCCAGCCCGCAACCGGTTTTGCTCTTCTTGGGGCTAATCAGGTAGGCACAGTCCTCGAGTTTCCTCCAACCTTACGTTCTGCTTGAATTAGCGAAATACACCCATTTGCAAACTGATGAGAGATTCAGCTAGGTTCCAGATGAGTGTATCTCGCTAAGTTATTTTATTTTATCGGTCATCATTTTGAAAAGATATGCTCACTAGGGTGGTGAAAGAAAGAGGGCCTTCCCTGTGGAGTTATTTGTTATGAAATTTCAACTGACTGGTTACTGACCATTGGACAGGAAAGCAAAACTCTAATTTGTATCTTATTTACAAAAGCTGGACATCCATCTCCTGAACGCGTCTTCTTGAAAGTTCCTGGAGATTCATTGACTCCAATTATTCCTCGCTCAAATCAAAGCAAATGTCACAAAGTGACTCCACCAATTCCGCAACAGATCTCTCCTTTTCAAAAGACGCAAAGCAAAATTCCACGAACAACACATACTACTCGCGTGCCTCCCCATCAGTAGTGTCACCGTTACAGTAGTAGATGCACGTTCAATTATGCTCTTTCCTCTCACACTTAAGAAAGGTGGCACTTTGTGGGACAGTTTAGCTTGTGAATCATTCCAGTGTTGTGTGAAGGAAACGCAATAGTTCCTGGATATGACTATTTTTGGATCAATCAGAACAAGGAGAATTAATCTCACCCGAAAATTTCCGGTTCGTTACGAACATCACAGTAATATTGCGTTTGAATGCAGACTTCGTTCAATTCACTAAGATGAAATTATGGCCTAGCCCATTCATGCTCATCCATATTCCATCACAAACTACTCTGACGTCTAGGTGTTTCGAGAAAGTGGAGGAACGCTCTATTTTTGGTTGTAACTGAAGTGGACCTTTCGTTTGTGTACGCTTCTTCACCAACGGAATGCGTCTTTCGACAGTGAAATGGAGCTTTGTGATAGGCCTATTTTGATCGGTGGTTTATATATATTGTGTTTGGTTTCATGAGCTTGGGGCAAACCTTCACTCAAGATTACTTAGTTGACCGGAGAGTTCAGCCTATTGAAACGTTAGCGTACGCTCTGATTGGTCGGCATGCTTGAAATGGACAAACTTGTACTTCATTCATTGGTTGGCTTTCATGTAGATCACTTCCTGTTCATCGCTGAGCCCCCTAAACCGCGCTATAGTTGTTTGCTCCGAGATTCGGTAAAATGTGATCAAATTCCTGGTGCGTTGCTGGTACCGAGAACGAAGCAGTGTGTCTAGGTCGATTTGCCGGTTGACCAAAGTAGGCTTGTTACAAAAATTCTCCCAGATGTTCCGTGCCTCAAAGAGTTAACCTCCTTCTGGGTGGTATTTTATCTTCGTTTATTAAAGCAAAGAATCGTGACTCCCGATCACAGCGTCATACTATTTCAACCGCGTCCCATTTTTTTCAATCTTGGTCATTATAAAATTTGTTCTCGTCGATACTCCACCATCCGCATTTTCTTCAACTCTCTTCACTTATCATACTTACTACGTATGCTCATGAATCATTAGTGACAACCAAAGAGTAGTATCAGTTTGGCGTGCTTAGCCTGTCACAAATTGTGATATATATATATATATATATATATATTCATTTTTCCCTCTCCAACTATTTCAGATTGTTCTAGACGTGATCAACAAGGCTGCATTTCTTATCACTCCATACCCGCTGTTACTGGTTTTACGTGTTCAACAACTCAGGTAACTGATTTTGTGCACCTGCCCCCTTAATACGGTTGAGAGATACTCATTTCCCCCTAAAAGTTTAATCGGGACAACTAAATGAGATTTATGTTGGTAGTCAGTTTATACCTAAAAGTCGAAAAACACTGCACAGCTCCTCCATCATTTTCGGTGGTCATGAACAGTGTGCTTTTCCCCTCGAATCATCATGGTGATTCAAACTCGTAACCCCTCGGTTAGCGGTGCAAGATTAAACCGGTGGGCCACTAGTGGTTGATGATTTGTGCGACTGATTTTATCTAAGAGGAAAGTTTCTTCGAACGACTGCTTGTGACCTCTGCAGTATGTTTGCATATATGCGGTATATCCCACAGCAATATAACCCTGAATAAAGCACGATCCGTACTTATGGACATCTTCTGAGTTCCTGCTGGGAGTGAAATTTAAGTTGTACGTGGGTGCGGAATCTTTGGAATTCATTGGCAGCTCACTCTCGTTTAAAAAGTCGCCCTCTTGTTCTGACGCAGTTTTCCTGGCGAGTCCGCACCAAAAGCAATTTTCAGGAGTCTGTGACGCTACCAGACTGGGGAGCCCCGATGGGCGAGCCAGTCGATCAGCACAAGCTGGATGGTTACTGGTTTGTCGTTCCATCCTTCGGATCAACCAATCACATCACTCAAGCGTGATCACATGTTCCTGTTCAGATGTAAAGATTGGGGTGCGTCTAGCGTTCACTGGGGGAGCAGCGGTAGCACGCTCGCCTTGCATGTCAGATGTACCGGATTCAAGAAGCTACTCGACCAAGAATATGCATTGTTGATGAGCTCTACAAGTGATCGGATTCAAGAAACTACTCGACCAAGGATATGCATTGTTGATGAGCTCTACAAGTGAAGAGTTAGGGACGTCTAACTAATTAGGATAGACGATGAGAAACATGGTCTCATCAAGCCAGAAGACCTTTCAAGACTGGGTACAATAACTGCAGGAATTCACCTAATCCAAATAATTGCCTTCTGTAGTACACGTATACTTGTACTCCATCTGTTGTTTAAATCCAATTCACTTGGTGTTTGCACCAACCCGAATTTCAAAATGTTATACAAGTCCCTGGTGTGAAACACGAGGGAGCTTGAAGATTCCGCGTGAATCTCATGGCGTGATTTCTGAGCCATGGTTTCCACTGTTCAATGATTATGTGGAAACGAAGTAGAGTCCAATATGCAGGGACTATACAGTGATGTAGATGAACTATCGAATAATAATTAGCCTGGAAATGTTCGTATAAGTGGAAAGTTTCCACAGGTGGATTACAAACGATCGCCTGAACGAAGAATTCTTCTCAATATATCTTCAACTGGCTTTTCATGAGTGTTTTAAAGGCGAATCGTTGGAAATACAAAAAATGGCCTAAGACACAATGGTTAAAATATGACATTGGAAGCATTGTGCATTTCAGCTAACAGCCCTTACGAATTCACTGTTCACAGTGGTCAGCTAAGTATCTGCGCTTTGTTCACATGTTCCGTTCAATCGCGCAGTACCTGCAAGCGAAAAGCTGTTATGTAGGCCGAGATTACAAAAGGTATCCGCATAGGAAAATCCCCTCTGTTACGCTGAACAGCAACTCCTTCTGATGAGCAAAACTTTCTGGAGGTAACCGCGTATGTAAGTCTGGTGCTTTTTTGGCGGATGACGGTGAGTATTGTACCTCTGTTCACTCGACGTCTTGTGATGCATTAAGATCGGGCCTTCACTAGTTTGTGTAAACATATTTGCTAGCTAAGATGGACTGACTTCCGACACCCTGTTAGACAAAGTCTTCCTCATTCTGTTGAGGTAGTCTGCTACTCAGGAACAACTAGGTCTGTGTACACAAGTGGATGTGTTTAGAAGGCGCATTCGTGTTCCGTTGGCTCAGCCTACTTGACTTGTTCACTCATGATTTCCGTATGATCGTACAGCCAATGGGAATAACCAAAATGGCTTCGGAGCGGACGATCACAACCCACACTATTGAGCCAACATTCCGCTCGCCTTTGTTTGGTGTCTGGCTGTTGACACTGCACTTTTGGACGCTAACAACGTGGACAATAGACGTTTGTTGCATAGATTTGCTTATCCTTGTGTAATTAGTGACATAGGATGTCGAACCCATTTTTTTCTGTTAATGTTCGGGATTGTATTACATATGCGTCACTCGAAGATCCGTCTCGGGAACCTCAAAATCTTTGTTTCGGAAAACTGGGATGAAAGACATTTCAGTTGACTTCTTTCAAAGCGCCAATACTTGAGCAACATTTGAGTCAATCACTTTCGTTCATACAGGCCTATCAGCTCGAGATAAGCAAAGGATGACTATGGTTATCTGGGTTCTGAATGTTTCCAGTCTTTTCTTTAACTCGGGCCTATCAGACCACCAAAATCAATCAAACCCAGACGTTGGTTGACAAGGTTATGTAGGGCGCCCAATTTAAATGGAACGAAAAACTCGTTCTAATGAAGGAAACTACTCACAAGGTTGCTGAAAACTCTTTGACAGCCTACGATGACTTCTGGGAAGGGCGAAACCGGTCGTGAACTGTCGAAGAGTTTTCAGCAACCTTGTGAGTAGTTTTCTTTATGAAAATATACTGCGATATCTCGAGTATCGTGCCAACTGAAACATGAGGTGGCCTGTGTGCAGCACATTCAGTTATAGAATATCATGAACGAGTAATTCAGTTGAGTCTCTCGCGAAAACCAAATAGATCTACAAATGAATCTATTGCTCGAGAAGCCAGTTCTTTTCATACTGTTTTTCCACACATAACCAATGGTCTACTGTGTTTTGTTGCTTTGATCAGTGCCCAGGACCAGTGTCATCTGGGAGGACTATTACAGGAACACTTTGGTGAACGGCTGTTATGTCCTCCCCTGCCCAAATTCGAACTGGATGATGCCCAGGCAAATACGATCATGGAGCGTTATTACGGTAACAGCCACGTAAGTAAAATAAAAACCTCCTAAAATCGCTGTTCCCAATCCCAGGGCGAGGTGAAATGCAGGGCAAATTCGTCTTCCTGGCTATTGAGCTGTCATCGGACGGAAGGTGTTTTACGAAACCTTGGGCAAAGGGATTGCGGTCGCTTCTTTGAAGTGGCGTTGCTCCTGGTTGAACCACTAAATTTCAGTCCGTTTTGACCAAAACGTTTGCTCTTACCTTCTTAGTAGTTTCTATGGCTCCGTCAACCCTGAATCGTCTTGAAGTTTCAGATAGCTGTGCTGTGATCTTTATATACTGCTCACTTGAATGGGCTCAGTGGTTAGGGCACAAATTTACTGACCCCAAGGTCCGTGGTTCGAACCCGACCTGTCTAAACTTAAGCAACCCGGAAGTATCCCAGCCCTCGTGTTTCCTTCTGGTGGCACAGCAGCTGGCTTCGAAAGGGTATTAAGGCTGGACATTAAAAACTAAAAACCCTCACTTGAAACGTTGTGGCATCTCTCAGTACGAAGTTAATCAGTTACGTCCAAACGGCTATTCATGTGCGGGACTGATTTCCACATATTTCGGAGACACTGTCTAATTGAGTGGTCTCAAATCAAATGAGATCTCTGTGTAGGCTAATCGTTTATCTCAAGCAGTTATCCTATACTACTTGAGGCAAACTATTCAGCTGGTACTTGCACGAAATTACCACGTGCCTTTAGGTAAAACTCTTCTTCACGCATGTTCACTAGCTCGAACTTTTCAGACCGCAAAATGTGTGCTATTAAAGGGTCGATATTTTTGTTACATTTTTAATCAAGTCAAATCTACTCTCTGGAACGTTTCAGCAACCTCTGCCATCCCCAGAAAGTATGAAGAATAAAATTCTGCTGAACTTGACGCGCGCCGAGAAAGCGTTTGAAAAACAAGGTAAGTGCTGCTGCTTTGGTCTGTTTGCTTAAAAGGCTATTTGCATTCGTATCCAAAAAAAGGCTGTATCATGAAAGTAGATGATCAATCTAATCAAAAGGGTCACCAAAAAAACCAACACTTCAGTGTGGAAGCACAAACTTTCTACTCAGCAACTCACTTTTGTGATCTCTATCCATTTTGTAAGACTACACATTGGGCCGCTAAAACGCCACGATCAGACGACAACAGGGGCAGTTGCAATGCACCTTTAGGATCAGAACTTCTAACTACAAAAGACAGTTCGTCTCTTTGACCTAAAAGAGAGGTCTGTTGGTAGCCACTCGACGGCTTAAGCCTGGGTACTAGCACCATATCAAAATTATTTACCGGTGTAATGTGTCAATCCCTGTGCGTCCTGGTGTAAAGCCGCACTTTCTCCGCGCAATACCATGCAACCATATCTGTCAAATGGTACCAAGGATAAACTAACTACAATAGGGTTATATATATGTATATATACAATATTATTGATGTTTTTACCAGAATTCACGGCGGTGGGCACACATCATTTTGTGCGTTTCTTGAAACCATTTCGAGGGTTCTACCAAATTACGCATGTCATCGGTTGCATCTTCTTAATTATTTCCAGTAGTCAGCTTAGCCGGATATTTTAGTGAATTCAGGGGCTACACCAGATCAGTTCCCCTTCAAATTGTTACTGCTTGGCTGAATGAGAAGATCCCTAGTTCCTAGCTGACCAGATGTTGGCCACCTACATTCATTGTACACGGTTGCAAAATTGTATCAGTCAAAAAAATTGGCGACAAAAATTCATACCTAAAGCATGTTCTTCAGTATATCAGTCAATCACATTTACACAGATCTCACTGTTCTTTCTGGTTTTGAAATTACCCGGAGGTACCTTCACACATTTCCACGGCAATTGGAAACAAGCCACTTTCATTTATTCAGTCGTGTTTGGTGACGTTCTATTATTTGTTTATGAGCATATTTGCTTCGTTCAGCTGAAGACCTCTACATGAACTGGACGTTTACTTTGTTCTTTCCAGATCAAAAACAACAACTCCAGGAACAGTCGGTAAGTAGCAGGTTGATTAGGTGTAATGGCACCGAAATTTTATCCTCTCAGACCTATGCTGTTCGAAATGCTTGATGAAAGCTGAATAATTCAGGTTAGATCAGACATAGAATTTGCTGGCCAGCCCATTATCCAAATGTCTAGCGCCTGGACTTGAACTAACGTTCATTATCTCACATATTGGACATGATCCGTTCCAAAGTGTACGGATCTTCTTGACTGAAGACCACTGATGGAAGGAAGTATCACGTTCGTGTGTTATTTGACTGCGGATGGGGAGATACGTAGAGTTCGGCTTCAGATTTTTTATTATGGAATGTCAAAGGCCTTCATTTGACGGCAAAAGACCGACCAGATCTCTAACAGTCAAAACGCCAAAGGCCTCCGCGTTCATTTCATAGGCGTGGATAGATAGATTAGTCACATTTTTGCTACACTCTTCCGACTCTCTTATAAAAATGCTTCCCCTACTAGAAAGTCAATCCATTTCTAATGTACCCATATTGAGTCATTCTTGTGTTTTTTGTGTCTCAACCTTCTAAAAATCCAGTAACTATCTTTGATGTCTAAACTTTCTCAAGCTTGGTTCTCTTAAAGTGTTTGAAGGTGTATTTTATAGAATTGAGTTTAGTAGAGTGCCAGAAAGATCTCAGCCAATGTGACAGAGTCGCCGTTTTTGACACCGAGTCCTTGTTTCAATTGGTCATCTTGTTCGCCAAAAATCTATACCTCCGACAAATTCGCTTGATCTTCGTATCTCATATTATCACTTCTGTTTAGGGCCCATCTCGTGAAGATTCCCGCGACAATTCATCGTTTGACAAGACGGAATCCGGCCAAGTTCAATTGACTGTTTTCGTCACAGATCCTGAAGGCGAAGAGGGCGTAAGTAGTATTGTGACGTGGTCTTAAAGACACATTTTCTCCACAAAACCAAAACTAGAGAGAGGCCATGGTACAGGGGACGCATCGTGCGTAAAACGGGGGTGTACTGGGAGACAGTAGCTGTGACAAGTTTACCAGCTGATCCTCATGACACTTGTCGGTTCCCCGACAGTTCTATCCGAATGCAAGATCTTCCATAGTCTTGTTTGCCCACATTTTTTTACAAACATCTTTTCAGTTCTTTATTTTCTTTAGATGGTTTATCTTCTGAGAGGTGAGGCATATTGATAAGGGACTCGCAGAGACCCTCTATCAGCACCTAAAATGATACCTCAGATATGCTCTGTATAATTACAGATCGCAAATCTATTATGTAACTTCCTGAAGTGGCATCTTCTAAGCTAAACAGCACTGAGAAAAAAGTTTCATACCACTTAACCTTTTACATAATGTAACCCCTGCAAATCACTGGTGTTTACGTCAGATGTTTCACATGTTTCTGCATGTTTCACTTATCAACATATTAAACCTCTCTACAAGGTGCACCTATTCACAATTTATTATTTTGAGTTCAGTGACAGAGGTCTAAAGGTGATTTACTCTCATAGCAAATAGTGTGATCGAAAAAATAAGTGTCAGAAAACATCAAACACCTTTTAACATTAGAAAACCCTGTCGTATTCATCAAAGTTGTTAGCTGTGAATGCTGCAACTTCCATGGTTGTGCCAGCGGTGTTGGGCTGAAAATTCGAGCACATTACCGTTTTCACGAAACTAATCACCACACGTGTTCCAACTCCCAATTTGGACGACCCGAAGAATGTGTTCATCAGACTTCTGACCACTGACCAACCTGGAATGAGAGACTGTGTAAGTGTCACGTGGATACCTCCTAGTAGAGCTTGCTGAGTCTCCGAGGTACACAAGCTGCCAAACCACGGTAAGTTCCAATCTCTTCGTGACAGAAGTTGTTCAGCTGTGGCTAGCTGACATGCTAACTGAGGGGAGCACGAGTGCTGGGATACTGCCAGTTTTCCCAAGCCTAGACAGGAGAAGTCAAGATTCGGATGTCGGAAACACGGAACTATCAGTCAGTAAATCCACGCTCTAACCACTGATCCATCTTGCCCCCTGTCGTGTGATTAAACACCAGATTACATTCCCATGTTGCACTTTTGCACGTGTTCCCCAGTTTTTTGAACATACAGAAACCTGCTCATTACCTGTATTCATTGTTATCAAAACTTGCGTGTCTTTTCTGTTCTTAACAAATTGACAAAAACACATTTGTGCATATGCACAGAGTAGGAGTAAAGTGCTAATCTATGATCTACTTCGTAACCTGAGATTCTGCTTGTGATATAGCAATTTGAATGATTGTCAAAGTCACTCAGAAGACGCCATTTCTCTCTGAGGATCATTTTATTTCGTTTGTTACGTTTTTACCTCCAACAAGTATTGCAAAACCAGTCAAATAGTTTCCCGATTGGGTTTTGTCACTCCAGTCTTCCGAAGAACCACATCATTGCACATGTCCTAACGGTGCCTTACTGAATGACAGCCGGCAAGGAATCAGCACCCACTGTTTGCAGAAAAAGGTGCCACATAATGACTGATCTGGTTAGGTTTGTGTTGTCCTTTAGCTGAAGTACTGCTTGACTGAAAGGACTCGTCATCGGCTTAGTTCGGCAAACTGAAAACTCGCCTGCCCAGCAGTTCCTTCCTACGTATTTTCAACACAGCGGCCTGGATGGATATGAGGATTCCGAAATTGACATATTATGTTCAATCGCCGAGCCTTCTCACGTGTATATAGTGGAGGTAGCAATTTCCCAATCAGGAAAATGCGGCTGTACTATTTTTTTACCAAAATGGACGAAGTTTTCATTGCTAACGAAGCGCTTCTGGAAATCGACAATGTGTATAGTCAAAGTGCATACCGAGGGTTTGTGCACCTATCAGACACCCAAATGTCGAACTGCCACAATTCACATGAGCAGTTTGCTAGGATTTTAACGTAGATCAACCGAAAGTGGATGTGTGGAAACCTCTCGAGAGTAGCACACGCCGTTAAACAATACCTGATATACCTATTCTCGTTTGGTTAGACTAGAAGAGGACAATGTTGCCTTTAACATTTTCTGTCATGTTTTCTTTGTACTTTCGCGAGAAACCTCCAAACATCCACAGGCTTTACCCCTACCCAATCCAAACGCGCGGGAAACCTACTTGCGGCTGCCCTGGTTGAGAACGCAGTTGCAAGGGTTTATTAAAAATCCTGGCAGGATTTGGTTGATGACTCTCGAAACCAATGATTTCAAAGTACCTACCATAAACTGTTGCAACTGATTACGAAAGAGCTAATCTCGCGATGATGATGCCAAACAGACTAATCCACCAGACAGGTAAACGCAGATGAATGGTGTGCTACTCATCAAAACTTACAGCAAACTTTGAGCGACATCTGTGATTTGCAGGTGATTCTCCTGAGCTACTACCTCAAAAACAGACTAACCATGGACAACTCAATGTCTGTTTGAAGTATCGTTTTATTATGGCCATCCAAAGTATCTGACACTAGCCAAAATCGGAAACACTACACGTGTTCCACCAAGTCAAATGAGTTAATATCACTGGAATGTCATTCAAACCAATGGTCGTGTATAAGACTAAGAACATGCAAGAGCTTACAAACAAACCTCAAATGACTCATTCGTTCTACTCATCAGGTTATCGGGAATGTAAATGTTTGTAGAGTAGATTATAGGAGCAGGTAGAAGCTTTGGCCAAGTTTAGTATCGGCTAGCCAGAACTGGTACATCAAGATAAGGTAAACAGTTTGGTATTCATAAAAAGTACCTTGGAGTTATCATGCGTGTGTTCTCCATTTTGAAGCTTCCCAAGCACGACGTATCATCTATCGGAAGCAGTGGACAACTAAGCGTAACGGGAAGCCGATCAGTCGTTCAAACAAGAACAAGTGGGACCAGACTACAATACATGAAGCCATCGATCGCATCCAACCGAACGGTAAGCTTGTCAATTTTCATTCGAACGCGGACCAATACAATTTTTTTGTTCTTCAAATAGAATACGACACATGCAACTTTCAAACCTATCCTAAAAACCGGGCCGTTTACCATGGATACTACAAGACAAATCCATCCACGACTTGCCAGAATGATCTCACTTCCGGCTCCCGAACCCGTGCCCAATTTGTGCCTTGAACTGTTCAATCAACACATTTCCAGTTCGACTACAGATGTACATTTTGATAACAAACCTACTCAAACGGTCAAGTTGCATCGCAGTGTGAGTGAAAATACAACCGATTTGCTCAGACGTCGAGGAATTTTACCTAACACGGAAACCGGTAAATCTGAGCTCTGGTCGAAACCCCAAAGTTCCACAGAGTCACAAAACACGTTGAAAATCTTGAGCTGTTTGGCTAGTCTAACATTTGCCAGAACCGTCCAATTGGAGCATCGAGCCCGAAAAAAACGACTGCTACGGCGAATCTATTCGGAAGCTTACAAGAACAAATATCGACGTGATCGTTCTGGAAGACCGAGCGATAGAAAAGGCCCCGAAACTGCTGGAATTCCGGGGGACAAAGGTAACTTAGTTTGCGCTAACCTAACCGAATGATTCGGTGGTAATAGATCATTTGGCGTAAAGTGTGGTTCTCGTTATCATTGTGTAGGAGCGTTGCAAAAAAACAAAGAGAATGAAGTACTCACTTTTCTGATGAGACGATGGCATGACTGAGAATGAACAACAGTGCAGACCGATTCATCATCATTTCTGGCTGAATAGCCGGATTTTGTCTAAAGAGACCGATGCGAAAACCATTTTGTTCGTAATAAATTAAGTAATCTCTCACACTGAATCTCATCAACTTTGAATTTAACGATGACGTCTCTCACTGTGTGAATGAGTATCTGAACTAAGGGAATCGCCTTTTTTTAATCATTCATGTGTGGTAGTCAGCAGTCTGATATCACCCAAAATCAAACTATCCCTAATTCTGACAGGTCCGAATTCGGTTCAAGGCCAAACAAGTGGAACACGAATGGGCGGTCTGCGTTCGCTCTTCAATAAACGAAGCAATTCCACAGTAAAATCCACGGACCCACAGGCTCAGAAAAAGCGGCCCAGTATTCTACAAGTGGCTACAAGCGCAGCTCGTCGGCTATCGAACGCTTCCATGTTAAAACAATTCGATCCTGGCTCCAAAAGAAATTCTAAAAGTGGCTTGGAAATGTTGATGAAGCCCGATTTGGCACAAAGTATGGTGGCATTTTGTAGACGGATGAGTATTCGATCAACTACGGGAAGTCAACAAAGGTCGCCAGGTGAGCTGGTTATTCCATCAATTAATGCCGTTTAGAACAGTCGACTGAATGGTGAACGTGTTGAGTGTGAGATAAATCAGTGGTGAGAGGTAACAAAGGGCCGTGTTTTGAAACAAATACTTGCTCTTGTTGAGTTTAGACCATCCGGCAATACCTCAACCTTCGAGCTTTTTCTGATTTGTAAGTCAGGTATGCATCAGATGTAGGACACAGGCAAAAATTGCTCCCATCAATCGCCTCAACAAGATAGAGTAACTTGGTTATCCCAAAATGATATCCACCAGATTATAACCAACACAGGTATCATCTAACGCAATACAAAATTGGGGATCATCCTGGTGAACTTACGAATATTGAATATCTCTACTAAGTCAACACTAGAACAACCACTTCGTCAAGTTTGGCACGCAAAGAGTTTCATTAAGTCTCACAAACATGCATGCGTGGGACATTTCGTGATTAATCTCCACGGTTCAACGTGGTCTCATGAACGTTTACATCACTGTCTGGCATTTCGGAGAAGCGTTTGGGAAAAACACCATACCGGACCACAAGTGGGCAAACCTGGAAGCGGTCTAGATCGCTTGGCTCCGTGTAGGTGAGAATATCCAGAAGACATAAACATGAAACATGCACTCGACAAGTACGCTGAGTCTGCCTTGATCATGTGACACGAATCGACCGACCCAGTCACTCAACTGTCCTCTAGACTGTCTCACAGCATCTAACTAGATGAAACGTGGGGGCGAAAAAACAACCAGTCGTTCGTGTCTCCACCTATAGCATTTCACTAACCAATCTTCGCTGAGTATTTCATTTTTCGCTCCTATTTTAACCATTAGATATGCACTGACCTGATTAAGAGATCCCGAAAACATCAATGTTACCCCACTGTGTTCTTGTTCAAATACTCATTTGCACACCATTCGGACACACTTGGGCTCTGATGAAACCCAGCTAAATCAATCAATCATGGCACTCCTCGACCGAGTATGCGGTAAACACGCAACCTCACGCTTCACTCTGTACCGCATTCGATATATCGAGATGCATTCTCTCGAATGAAACTACGCACAAAGTCGATTTAAGCTCCTAAACAGCCCAGTTTCATTCTTTTTGGGGCTCTTCGGACAGAACTAGTCCCCGAGTTCTGGTCACCCTTATGTTTTGTTCCAAATCGAATCGGATTTTCGACATGCGAATGGTTTGAAGTAAAATGGAGTTATTACCCGTACACCAACTACGTACTACCCCGAATTCTGTGCCGTATGGTTCGAATTCCCAGGGTTTTGTTCGACCATTCGGACAAGGTGAAAACGAAGGCCAAGGTCACATGATGCACTCGCTTACTAGACTGACTTGCCAGGTAGAAACACATGAGTTAATCGTACACATCCGACGAAATCCCGTGACCAAAACCTATTTTAAAAAAGTCTGCAGAAAATCGGCATATACGTGACCTTGGAGACTAGCGCCACCGCGACTATTGTGATCAATGGTAATTTAGATTGTCTAGGAGTGAAATCTAAGGAAGTCAGACAGTAAGCTGAATCCCATTGAAGATTTCAGATGGTCAGCACAGCTAGTAAAAAATTCCGGGATAAAGGAGGAAAGATAACTTAGTGAGAATGGGTAGAACGCAGTCTATCGCAATAGCTCACATGATTTCACTAAAACGACATGCTGATGACAGGTTGATCATGACGCCACGGAAAATGGTGGCTCTGTGCTACGGATAGGTGTAAAATGTTCTCGTGATTTTACTAGCAACTCAAGTGATTTTTTCAGAAAGCATAATCAATTTAATCCTAAAATGTATCCACTCAAGTTGTTCCAGTTCGATTGCTTGTGAACATACGTACTGTGCGGGTGACCTGCACTTATGTTATTTTACCTAGTTCTGACTAGGTCCAGTAAAATGAGGAGCTCATTTCGGCAGACATCCTATTGACCACAACAAATAATGATTGGCCCAGCCAGCGTGGGGGGGGCGGAGTTCGCCAAGAGATCTATATTTATTTGGACTAAACAACTAGTCTAATCGACGGCAAATTTTCAGCAACCTCGTGAGTAGTGCATTGCAAATATACATGTATCGCGATATCTCAAATATTGTAGCGACTGAAACATGAGGCGGCCTGGCGCAGCACATTCAGTTGCCTGGAAACATCACAAATTAGAGATTCAGCTGGGTTCCAGGTGAGTCTCTGGTGATTCTCTCAAAAAAAAACAAATTAGTTTGCAAATTAGTGTATTTCGCTAACCAGACTTATCATTAGAAACTCACACCTTCAGTAAAACAACTAAAATAATGGTCATTTCAAAAGGGGCCACACAATAAATTATTTGAACTCAACAATTACGCAAATGGGTTTGCAGGTGTGTGGCCTAGAAATCAAAAGCCTGTGCTTAGAGTTTGGGTTACTCCGACCAAAATGTACAAACTTCATTAATTCATTCCAAAACACCGTTTTTTAAACTCATGACCGACGTATCCATTGATGCTTAACACAATATTCCACTCAACGTTCTTTACAGTTAGAAAGAATACAGAAAAACCACCTTTGGAACCAAGGGATTCGTCCGATGTAACCTCGAACTCCCTATCGACACAGGATCGAACGAGGAGCCGTAGCGGCTCATCATCGCATTCGTCTGGAGTTTTCAACGGTGAACTGAAAATCCCTTCGGTGAATGTCTCTCGCGATGGAAGCACTAAGCGTACAGGTTCAACCAGCAGTAACGATTTACAGCCCAGTCAAATGCTGGGGGATGGAAAGAAGAAAAGACGGTCTTGTGCTAGGTGCTCCTGTAGCAGTGGCAGCAAGAGTAGTTTCGGTTCGTCATCCGAATCCCTCTTGAGTACTTCGAAGAGAAAGCAATCTTCCAAAGACTCAACCTCAAAACTTGAACCCGAAAAGACACGTGTTAGGCGAAATTCTTCTGTGAAGCCAACCAAGTCTCCCCCCGCGAAATCTCCCGATACTCAATTCCCTCGGCAATCAATAGTTTCTCGGATGCCTAGCAGTATGGTTTCGTCTTCCACTAGTTCCTCTTCTATAACGAGTTCCACGGAGACCGAAGAGACTTCGTTCACTTCAACTGACTCATCGGAATTTTTGAACAATGTCCCACATCGCCCCATGTCTCCAAGTCATGTTGGATTTATGAGCGATTCATTTTCCAGCTCCGACGAGCGATGTGCTCTGCCTCATCGGCCCATAACCAGAAAACCCTTACTAAATCATACATATCCGAACGGCGAAGTCAGGACCGGTACCTTGCCGTCAACTTTTCGTCAGCGTACCTCGTCTGGATTACATAACTCTCCACAGAGCGCCCCTTATGATAACCAGTGGGCTGGGGCCTCTTTGGAACCGAGTTTTGCTCAGAACACATCAGCTTTGGGAACAAAGGACACGGCAGTTCTACCCTCTCAGCTCATGTGGCGATGTGCGAGCCAGTGGCTGGCCAAATGTCGTGTGGTCCTTACATCGGTGCTTCACGTCATGGATATGTTAAAGAGCAAAGCGGGAACCAAGGCTTTGGCTGAGTATCCTTTTTTGGATGTAGAATATAGATCATTTTGCCCTTGTCCAGGTTTCCGATAAGGAACTTTGAATGACGCGTATGTTCCGCAGTCACGAATACCAAAAGGAAGAATTGGGTTAGAAATTCTACAGTACTATTTACACAAGAGTAAGCAAATGTATACAAAAAACGTCTATTGTCCACGCTCGTAGTAGCAACGATTGCACAAGTCTGTCACTGGCCAGCACAGTGCAGTGTGAATGCAGCACACCAAACAGCGTTGGGCAGAATGCTGGCTCAGTAGTTTGGGTTGCGATCGTCTCTGAGACCAGTATCTTCATTCTGATTGGCGATGTGATCACACGGAACTCATTAGGGCCAGGTCAGGCCCATCAAACGGAACACGAACGCGCATGGGTAACTAGGTCAGAAACGTACATTCAGACGCGATAATCCGCAAGTATCGGACGGAATACACTCATCTTTGCAGCAGGGTGAGTGGCGGTACAGATGAGCAAGTACATAGGCGGAGTTAGCAACTTGATGGTGGAATTGTAATGAGGTGTAGCAAGACTCAGTAGTACCTCACAAGGTAAACAGCTTTAATCTACGCTCTTCTCCGTAACAATTGCTCATAAGTATATTATCTTCAGTTTGACAATGCAATGCACTTTAACTCATAGTTTTCTCACCGAAGATACACCAAACACCGGCTGGTTATTGTGGAATCAACCGATGAGTGTGATTGGCAAACTAGGCAGGTAAGCATTCGTCGTTTATCACACCTTCTCTAGATGAAACGTTTATCTGTCTTCGTGCGACCTTTATAGTTGTCCAGAATCATTCAGTAGAAGCGTTGGAGTCGAATTTTGTTCTCCTTCATACGCTCTTCTTTGTCCAATAACAGTCAACTTTTCACTGAACAGTTTAGGGACACCGGGGTGACGCAGAACACCGAAAAACATGAACATTTTGCAGTGGTCTTTGAAACTTCTCTCTCAATACAAACTTTCCGTTCAGTTTCACGCAACTGTTAGATCAATGGCCGTAATAAATCCACCAATATCCAGGATAGCCACATCAGAAATACACCAAAATATCTCGACTACGAGTTTATGGTACCTTCGTATTGGCCCGCCTTCTCCAAAACAACTATTTCCGTATTCATTTAAAATGCTAGCTGTAGAGAAGGGGAGTACTTGAGCATCCTGAGGTAAAAAGTACTTATTTATGGCAGAATTTTGATCACCAATCGGTCTACCTTAACAAAGTCACACTACGGAATGCCATATGTGCGAAAAAGTAGATTGCTTCCCCACTTTTCCACCAGAATTCCACGGGGAAATTTCTTGGGCTCATCGTGAGTGAAGTTGTGTACAATGTGGAAAGGTGGAGTTTTCTATGTCCCTGCCTCACACACACTGGGGATCGTTCCAGCTGAACAGGCTATGAAAATGAACTGTGTCCACATAACAGACGGTGCACAGACGTCGATCCACCCAACCTCGCACTGACGATGTCACCTCGGTTGGTAATGAAACGCCTGCCACGTTTCCTTGATTAACAGACCGACAACCAAGACTGACCGTAGTTTCATTCTGTGTTACAGTCCATGATCCGCGGGACACTCCTGATGGCGGAATTCCCAACAGGTCGACAACTTTCCGGCAGAAAAGAAGATCACAACCTGATGACTATAATCAGTTAAAACATGCTCAACTGTTTAGTGTTTTCGCACTTAAAAGGCGACTAAAAGTAAATTACATCGTCAACAGCTCATGCTCCAGCGGTTGATTCCAACTCTGGTTGCAAACATGCTACATCACTTGGTGCGGTAGCCTTCATCATAGTGTATTTAACCACATTTAACGCGTAATAAGGACCTCATGTTTCAGCTTTGGTTTCTAGAGTTGAAATCCGCTGGAAAACTGACCTTAAATCGGAAAACTCACTTTTCCCATAGGTATGGCTCGCTGTTGAAGACTGGTCGTTTCATATTTCTTCGTTCGGTTCGTTGGTTCTTCGGTTCGGTGTTTCACTTTGGTGGATAGCATAACAAGCACTAGTCTCTTGTGGCTTCCTTTGATCAGCTAGCCCGATTCTACTGAAAGCAGCAAGAACCACCACATGGTAATTGAGTTCTTTTGCCTTAAGAGAAGTTCATATTCCAAGTATGCGCCTTCGATTTCTGTCTGAAGGAGCCTTACGTCCCAGATTCTAATTTTTATGTAGAATAGTCAAGAAATGTGGTTGTCGAGCCTCGATATAAGGGCTTGTTACGAACTTCCTATCCGGTTCTCTACTCACAAGTTCTGACCGAACAGACACAGGGGGACAAAAAGGTAGTCAAAAGCCTAATACTACTGCGCAGAGAGGTGTTTATTGAGTCGCATCCATCTTTTGTCTTTTGCTAATCAAGCGGTCATCACAGTTAACTGTTGGAGTATCAGTTTATATGGATTCAGGACCTGAATTTTCTAGCCAAACCTAACTTAGTAGAGAACACCATCGATGCTTCTGTCGAGTGGGTGTCACCCACTAGAGAGGGACATCTCACTTTTACCAAACCCTTATTCCAACGATCTGTCGCTGCCCTGAACTGCGTTTTCTCGTAGTATGGGTCCTTCCAGGCGCGGTGAGGTCCAATAAAATGAGTTCCTATCAGTGTCAACCGCAGGCTCATTGAAGCACGGAAGCCCAACCATCACACCACAGTAGGTCGGAATTCCACTGATACTCCCAAAAATAACCTGTAGAACAAAGTGAAGACAAAATGGAATGTGATCAATTAGACCGCTAGAAATGCTCATATCGAGTAGCATCTTCCAGGTAGTCGTGACGACATAGTGATTTAAATATGTGGAATTAGCAAGTTGGCTTGTCATACATATTATCGCTGCACATGCAGTCATGTGTGCATCGTCGTTCAACTAAAAATAAACGATGAACCAGAACACTTCTTGCACCGATCCTTATTTGTTACACACAAAAGCCGGGGCTCCACACCGGAAGTAAGGAGGGGTTTGGACAGTAATAAACCCCGTACTTTTGAATATACCTTTCAAACTGATGGTTGGTGCAGCAAGCGTTCGTTAAACTGGCTATGTCCCTAGAGAGCTATCGATCCAAATCAAGTGCAAACACGAAAATGAAAGAATCACTTTTTGGATAGAAAATCCTCAGTGCGATTCCAGGTGTGACTGAGCAATTACCGCCTTATGAAGTGAGTATTCTTGCCCCTGTTATTTGGATTCTTGATAGACCTGCAGCGCAAAAGACATTTCGTGGGGATTATCTTTCAGTGTTACTTTCGATTTTTAGTGAAACTCCCTAAGGTTGATTTCAATCCACTTTTAACTGCCGATGTTGTCAAAGTAACCTGGGGAGAGAGAATGTGACGTATTATTCACTGAAAATCTGACAATGCTTGTGGCCCAGTGACACAATAGCAAGCATGCAGCTCAAAAGGAGCTTTCCTATTCAACAGCAAATAAATGACTGCTGCATTCAAGTAATAGATCGAGAAACCACGCGCAAAGTCATGTAAGGCACGGTGATGCCTGTTAGAACTTGTAGGATAGACCGATAACAGAATGACACAATTGCTTTCGTCTCACATGTGAAAAGACTATTAGATATCAGACTGACATATGTTTAGGACAATGCCACATTCATCCATATAAATAAGTACGATTCCTCTTTCTGTTCTCTGAAAGATACTGCAGCTTGTCGGATGTCAAATGGTTCCCATGCAAATCAAAATCCCGATGTGGACTGGTGAACAGTCTGCGAATGGTGATTCTAAACCTACGTATCGCAGGGTCCCGAGTGTCCGAGAGCAAATCTACAGGTCCTACTCGGTTGAGCAAGTCAAAATGTCCCAAGATGCACAAATATCTGGGTGAGTGTGAGTCAGCTCTCCTAAATTAGCTCGCATTTTTTCTTTCTAAGCTTTCAACACAACAGACCTCGCTTAGTGCTCTGGCTTTTGGGCAAAACAGCTTGCGAAAGCACACAATTTCTCCACATATCCACTCGACTTTTGAGTGACCAATCTGAGGAGAACACTGAAGGTGTTCGAAACTCCAACTGGAGTTCAAACCTCGGCACGGTCAAGGACATGCACTGTTGGTAAGAAATAGTAAGAGCGAAACTTGAGTCCAGTGCTTCTACCGTCTGTGATGGACACATCAGAATAAACACGGAAGGTCACGAGGAGGATCATTCAAACGGAATTGATGTGAAGTTTGGTTTATATCTGGGCACATTCTAACTCATATACGTTGTTGAAAGTATTTCTAGTTACACAAATCTCAATATTTATCCACAGAAATCGATGAACGTGTTGAATCTCAAGGCCTTTCAAGCATGAAAGGACTTGACAGCTGCACAAAAACAACTTGACCAAGGTCGCACGCGTGACACGTGACACAGGTGCTAGTAGCGTAAGCGAAGTGGATTGCAAATGTGAAGTGTACTTTTAATGATCAAACTAATCGAGGTGGGTGAAGAGTGAATCAAGCAAAATGGAGTCGCTAAACACATTTTATTGTTACATCTTGAATGGCTTAACGGATATTGTCGTTAGAAAGCTTTACTTTCGCGACAAACGACAAGGTGGAATGAACGGGATGGCGTGAAAGACATCTCGTGCTGTTCACTCAACAAGCATCTTGCTCTAATCTTTTTGCCCAGTGTTTATATTCTTTACACCTTCTGTTCACAGGTATACTCTCAAACCCGCGAGACTGCGAATGGACACATGCATTCATACTCATAAATACCCAAAGGAGTGGCTGTTCGTAGGCTTACCCATCGGCCCAAGTTCGGAACAAGCAGAGACTACCAGTCTCTTTCCCGCATCTACCCCCGGTCGCTGGCCCGCTCTGGCTTGCACATGTTGCTACGACCCCTTCTCGGAGGAACGTGCGCGTGATCAGTTGAGACAGTTGCATCGCTATCGTTACGGCAAAACATCCACGAGCCATTCCAAACTGATGTACAACAGTCGGAACAAGCAGAGACTACCAGTCTCTTTCCCGCATCTACCCCCGGTCGCTGGCCCGCTCTGGCTTGCACATGTTGCTACGACCCCTTCTCGGAGGAACGTGCGCGTGATCAGTTGAGACAGTTGCATCGCTATCGTTACGGCAAAACATCCACGAGCCATTCCAAACTGATGTACAACAGCCTTCTGCCTTGGAATGTATCATTTCAGGTTCTGAGCTTCACGAACAACTTCGCGTTGGCGCACTCGGACCAGCACCCTCCAAGTTCCATACAGGATCGATCAAACACGACTCATAAGCTGCCAAGGCGTTATCAGCGCGCTGCTAGCTCGGCAGCTCAATCTGGTCGGACCCCACGCAATCAGCCATCACCTCAGAAAACTCGGCGAAGAACTTCTAAGGAGAATCTGGTTAATGATTGCAACGGTGTACAACAGGACCATGCTCGAAGAGTATCTGCGGGTGGGAGGTCGGACATCTCGGAATCAGAAATACGCATTGAGGTATGTGAGTACAAGTTAACCACTGAAAATTTCTCTGAAGAGTCGGTGCCGAACTCTTCCTATACAGCTTCAAGAACGTCTACTTTAGGTTCGGTGATCCGAATGACCCAACTGAGGCTGGTCTGTGTCTGATTGTAGCCAATTTTCACCACAGGAAATTTTGTTCTTGTGCCGACAAATGAACATAGTTACCAGTCATATTCCGCCAGAAGTCTCCGAAAAATAAACTGCTCTGAAAAGACTGGCTTGACAAAGTAGGTACCCTCGATTGCTCCCGCTGATCTGCCTATTTCGTGATCGGGGGACGAGAACCCAAAAACTTATTGATGGGCAAACTGGGCATAGTGCGGCCAGCGTTCCGTAAACCGGGTAGACAACACTCGATAAACTTTAACAAAAGGAACACTGAGACCACTCCGCCTATTCTGGGGGGCGAGATAGCTCAAGTGGTTAGAGCGCGAATTTACTGACCCGGAGGTCCGTGGTTCGAACCCAACATGCAAGCTGTGGGGACTGACAGAGAGAATTATATAATCTGTTCGTGTGAGCCCATGATTCAAGCCTCAAACCAATACAGATGGTTTATAGTACAATGCGGCAAGATGACTCGTGTGGTTAGAGCGCGAATTTACTGACTCGGAGGTCCGTGGTTCGAACCCAACCTCTGCCTCTCGACTCCCCAGTCTAGGCTTGGGCAACCTGACAGTATCCCAGCCCTCGTGCTTCCTTCGGATGGCATGGCAGCTAGGCACCGAAAGGGCGCTACAGCTGAACGATTATCATTATTTATTTATTCTGAATTCCTCATTTCGCATGGTGGTATCCCATCAATACCATCAGAAATTGCATGCAAGCTGTGGGGACAGACAGAGAGAATTATAGAATCTGTTGGTGTGAGCCCATGATTCAAGCCTCAAACCAATACAGATGGTTTATAGTACAATGCGGCAAGATGACTCGTGTGGTTAGAGCGCGAATTTACTGACTGGAAGGTCCGTGGTTCGAAACCGACCTCTACCTCTCGACTTCCCCTGTCTGGGCTTGGGCAACCTGTCAGTATCCCAGCCCTCGTACATCCTTCAGGTGGCATGGCAGCGACGTATCGGGAGGGTGCTGTAGCTGAATGATAGTACGGTACGATTCAGTAAATTCGGGAGTTCAGATTCAAATTTTGCCACAATATCAAACTGGCGAATTGTTTTGCCACGCCTGTGAACCTCACTGTTTTGCAACTTCTCCATTTAGGGAATTTTGTCACATTCAAACGGTGATGAAAGACCTAAAAGGGTCTCTCTAGCACGAAGTCCTGAAACAAACAACAAAATTTGGCTTGGTACAGCACTTCAGTAGGATCAATTGCTTATTTATTTTTTTGCGTTAACATTTACAGGGAGAGCTGCTCGGTCCTTGCTTTTTTGGACTACAAGAGACAGGTTTCAGACGACAACAACAACGATTGTCAGCTGTGACAACACCCGTGTTGAAAAGGTCCACGGTCTCCCATGCTTACACAATGCATGATATTCGAAGCATCCCCAACAACTTTCCGAATTCGCCCTCAATAACACAATCCAGCCTATTCAGTGTGCCTTACCGCAGTTGTACGGGTCTCTACGGCAGCAATTCCAACATTTTCGACCTACTGGGGGCAGCGAAAATTGACTTTACTCGTCTTCCAAGCCCAGAAGCGGTTGTGATCCGGCTGAAGGCCCGTAACAGAGCTTCCACCCTCGAGTCTGACACCAGTTTTGAGGAGGGAGTAGCCATTCGACTTTTCAGTACAAGCAGCCCCGTGGAAAACACGCCAACAGGATACCAACACTTGAGACTACGTTTTGGGCAACCGTTTCCGTCTGATTCAAGTTCGGAAGATCACCGCAGTCGACATGAAGTATGCCATAGTCAGCTGTGTAATACAGTGGGTTTGTGGATTTTCTGTAAGGTGAGTACTGTCTGTGAGTGTGTGCCTGGTGATTCAGACTGAACCAAAGAGAACATAGTGGCAATTTTCATACTGTGAAGTAGTGCTCCTTTTCGTTTTTCCGAAACCATGTTCAATCATCTAAAAGGTGTGTTTATGACTTCAACATATGTAAGAAATTAGCTCATGGGGAATTCCCCTGCGGAGATGTTGCAGATCCTGGTAGCTTGGTTTCGAACTACTCTAGGTTTCAAGTAGAACATAAGCTTGACGGAAACCCGGGGACTGCGCCTACCTGATGAGCCCCAAGAGGGGTGAAACCGGTCGTGGGCTGTCGATGGATTTTCAGCAACCTTACGAGTAGTACATTACAAATATACTCTAGGAGGTTTCTGACACCTGGTGAGTTCAAGCAACTCTTTGAAAAAACTTTGTAATTTAGTGGTAATTTGTGACGATCAACATTCCATTGTTCCTGGCTTCCTGGAAATCTCACCAACAAACAGGTACCAATAATCTGATCAGGAATAAAAAGATTCCAGAAATTGTACAGGGTTTCTACTGGAAAGTCATCAGTCTGGCAGAGCCATTATCATGCGTATCACATCGGTCGGTTGAAGGCTGAGTGACGCTATCATTCCACAGAACAATTACTCGTGGCTCATAGACAGTTGCTCAGACTTCGACCCTGTAGGTCATTGTTTCGAATTTCCTTCTCAGTTTGTGAGGTTCGAACTGTTAGTGCATCGCAGCTAGGTTGAAGTCAGTGCGCGCACTGATGACGTCACCACGGTTGGTGGCAAAACATCTGCAAGTAAATAGCCCGGCGAACAGATCACCAGGCGTTGGGTCTATAACCAAAATGGCAGACCAATTTGGTTTTTTGAGAGACTCAATTGGAACTCAGCTGAATCTCTCGTTTGTGAGTGTATTTCGCTAATGTCGTGTAATTTGGTTTTACGTAAAACATAATTTTGACGGAAACTCAGGGACTGCTCCCCAAGAAGGGCGAAACCTTTCGTGGGTTGTCGACGAATTTTCAGCAACCTTATGAGTAGTGCATTACAAATATACAAAATAGCAGACATTACTAGCATGCCACACTGTGGAATCCGTAAATTTTCCATTTGCCCCTCGTTGCATGCTGTTTGCCAGTTAAATTCGCTAATTCTGATTGGAATTTGAGCTCAGTTCTGAACAGGATTCGCTCGTGACTAGGCCCTAACTCCAGAGGACAGATTTAACGATATCAAACTCTTCCGCCTCATGTACTATGACCACGGAACCAGTCGAGTTAGGAGCACACGCTTCACCGAATGACCAACAAATCTCGCCAGCCAACGGACTTCTGTGCATTCTTCACAAAGGCGCACAAATGAGGTCCATTTTCGACCCTGGTTCCACGGACCAGGATATTGAATGATAAACAAATCTCACCAGGCAACGGACTTGGGTGCATTCATCACAAAGGCGCATAAATGCGGTCCACTTTCGACCCTGGTTCCACGGACCAGGATATGTGCTCTAAGACACCGGGAAAACGAATTCCACATAGGGATGATAAGAAAGACAGTTAGCGAGGGTTCATATCATGTCATACGGTTTTTTTCCAATCGCAGCTTACGAAATACGATCAAAAAAGCTAAAACCAACAGAAAAAATAAAAATTCCAAATTGAACCGGAGGATAGGTTTAACGAGGATCAAGGATCATGCACTTGGGCGCCCTGGTCTCTCACTGTTCAGCGGATGTATTAATCACAGCTCCTAACAAATTAGGCGATGGGTCGCCCACATGCTATGTCTACTTCACCAGCGGCTAACACGTAGTCTTTATTACCAAATGAGACCAGTACAAATCACAGGGAGGACGAACTCCCGCCAACCCAAGTATAACAGCAACTTTGGCTTGGTGGACGAAAGCAAAACAGTACAAATTTAGAAACGTCGCACATATGGTAACCAGCATTGATAATCTCAAGTTTCAGCCTACGTCCTACATTGCTCGCTTTCAGACGCAGTGACTCTCGTATCGGTGAAAGAAATCCATTGGGGTTTGTCTCGGAGGACTTTGAGAAACTGTTGCACGTTCCCATCCAGTACACAAACCAAAGCATACAGTTAGTGCTACGGAACTGTATACCAACCTTTTTGGAAGCGTTCATTGAGGTGGGTCTGATCGTTAACTGTGCCAATGATCACACAAAACTGCTAAGTGATCAGGACTTCCGAATCTTTGACGTTGGTCAAAGCACTGCTGCCAAGCTGACAGGTTGAATGACACACGGCTTAACATAATTCCAGAAACTCCAGGGTCTCAGTTACGTACTGCGGAGTGAAGCCCTGTTCTAATCACTTCAAGCTGACCTGGTTTCAGCTTCTAGAGCAACTGCACATTTAGAAGTAACATTAGGAACAAAGCCAATACATTTTTTTTTAAGCGTTTTTCTCTTAAAAGCATCAGGATTATCAAATGTGAAACAGGGATGTCTGACGGTTCTGACTTTCATATGGCACAATATCGAAAATATCTAGTGGTCATGTAAGGCTGTCATTGGGAGCGTCAATCCGTATTTTCTTGACCGATGTGAATGCACCACTCACTTGATGATTAACACTTGGAATATTTTGATTCCACTGCATTTCAGATAGACTTAGCTATCCATGCACCAATATCTCTTGGTGAACTTGTGGATACAGTGAGCCAGGAACTGTCGAGCCGGTGCAACAGCTTGACACGCAAGTACTACTGCACAGAACAGGGACAGAGTAACGACGGCTTCACATCATCGCTGCGCAACGTCCAAATGCCATCAGCCGACTTGGTTCAGTCTGCTATTGAAATGGAGATGTGAGCCGACAGGCAATTCAGTTTCACCGAGTGGAACTGTTCAGGTCGCTCATTCAACCATAAGTTACTATATATATATAAATACCATTCTCTCTATTTTTGCTCATACAATGCACACAATAAAATGATATCATGAACAACATTTATTGATCGAAAAGTGGAAGGACTTGCGACAACTTTTGTGCATCCGTATATGAATATTGGTGCTACCGTTTCTACGCAGATGATGACGAATATCGGTTCTTGGAAAGGGTCGCTCTTCAGTTACTAAATTTAATCCATGTTTGTGAACGGTGCCTGAAGACTATTCCACTGAAAACAATCTAAATGGCAAGTCACTTCCTGTTCGCCAAGAGTGATTTCACTTGTTGCCCCATAAGTGTCAATTCCACGAAGTTTAGTCGAGATTCGCTAAAGATTCAGGTCTCATTCTAATCAGGTTACGAAAGAAAAGACATTCAACTATGGTGGGCTGCGAGATGTAGCTTTCTTAAAAATTGGAACTCTGATAAAGCATATAACTGGCGCCTACTGCCCCCAGAACCCCACCCCGCAATCTGATAGTGAAAGGACTCAAGAGATGCGGCCTACTGTACCCCACATACACACCTGCCCGCATGCAGCGCCTTGTACCCGTGCATAATTTTTGGAAAATGCATTCGTTCGCATACAAAGCAGGTTCTGACAGGAGATTCATCTGAATCAAGCTAAATCTTTAGTTGATGATGGTGCGCTTCAAAAGAGTGTGGATAGACAGTCCGCCCAACGTATCAAGTAGCATTAATTACAAGATGTCAAAATATGTTGTTGCTTAGACATAACAAACTACTTATAAGTTTGTTGAAAACACTTCCACCGTTCGACGAAAGTTTTTCTTTTCTCCACCGAGAGAAAAACCACCACCGCCAAACCACATCCTGTGAGTATGGTTCGTCCTGTCGGGTGCTCGCAGTACCGCAGCCCAACATGTGTATTCCCTTCATAATTGATCGAGCTTAGATGATGAAGTACTGTCAGCTATGTGTCCCTCTCTCTGCCTCAGTGGAAGTAACCTGAACGGAATCTCGCAGGAAAGGATAACCTATAGGCTGGTACACTGAAGGATTTGAGGGAATTGACACCTGAGTGGCTGGCCAGTAAGGTAACGGAAGAGACGCGGGGTTTTACTAATCTGTTCAGAAGAATGGGTGGGATAACATCTTGTAACACCATGACCGAACGACGAGTAGCGCTATACCATTCGAACTATGACAAGCTGAACTGTTTCCTCCTCAAATGCCTAAGAGGCCGATGGTTCGAATCGATCAATCCATCCACACGACACTGACGATTCCCAACAAGCTCCACAGTGCTTCTCGTCTTTTCCGCGTAGAACGGATTAAGCAAGATGACGAAATTTAGATTTAGTCTTGGAATTCGTTCAGGCCAAATGAAACAATTAAAAACTTTCAACTTCAGATATGTGTGGTCCGTACGCGATAAGTGCTTAATTTGACCCATTCTGCAACGAACATATCTGATATCATTCAAACTGTAATGGTTGCTCAACAAGACACTGTAAGTCACCGTTTGATTGAATGGTGTGAGGAATTAAGCTTCAAAGAGATTCAAAACGATTAAGCCTGCACTTTTCGACACACACGTGTCTGGTATCTGATGGTCAAAGTCTACGCTGGATGCAGCACCTGGATAAGTGAATAAAGCTTGTTTCCCGGTGAAGTTTTCTGGGTTTCTCTTACCACGCGCCACCAATGTAAGACTAAAACCAACCTGGAGTTCAAGTACATAATTCGACATTTTCATTTACAAAACAGAGAATACGAGCGACAGCTATTCAGCCCTTTGGATGAACAAAATTTTGTCTTGATTAAACAGCTACAGTTGTGGGCAAGAACTAGATAACTTCACCATGGTTTGCGATGTGATGAGTTCACGTGACAAAACCAGTACATGGGCACTGAACTGTTGGTATAAGAAGGTTCCTATGGGTTGGTACACATTCTCACTTATGCCCGGCCTTCAGGAGAAGTAGATAAAATCCTTGCCCCGGGGTGAGCTGTTTGAAGCAAATTACCATAGCAAGCGATACAACTGGAGGATGGGGGCGGTAAGCGAAAATGCGACGGTGACCAGACTATGATATAATCGATCAGTCTGCCTTAAGATGGCTTCGTCACTATCGAACTGAATTGGGAATTACATGGTATAACTTTGAAGACGTCCAATTAAAGCACAAACTGTGCAACCGATAGGAATGAATTTTGGAATTGTGAAACAGTGGGTCACGTCTAGCAGACTCATCAAGACAGTGTGGCGATACAAGTGGTGAAATTGCAAACTTTCGTTCGCTTTCATCGACCCCATACAAGACCTATCTGCAGTGCGAGACGTCACCATACCATCCTGATTCTTCACACAGAAGTTGTGGAACGTTACATCCCGCAGAGTATACGTGTGGTCCATCAGAAACATCCGCACCTATGATTTTGATTTAATGATATGAAGGATATGAAGGATATGCCATTGACTGTCAGTTGTCGAGTGTCTCAACTGCGTTCCAGGCTCTTGACTGACGGACCTTTGTTTACCAGATGGTGTATTTCAAGGCTTCTACTAGACGCAATGTGTTGGTTTTGCTCCATAGCTTTACACAGACGCCTCCGTGCTCTTCGTGCTAGACTCGGAGCTGTTGTGTTTATATTCTGACAGACACAACTCCGAATATAACGGTGGATTAAACTTGAAGGCCTCACCGACAGAAAACATTACGCATAAGTTTGCTGAAAACTCCTCGACAGCCCACGACCAATTTCGCCATTTTTAGGGCTCATCAGGTAGGCGCAATCACTGAGTTACCGTCGACCCAATGTGTATATAGATGTATTGCGGTATCCCGAATACCGTATGAACTGAAACATGAGTCGGCACATTCACTTGCTTAGAAACATCATAAAGTAGCGATTAAGCTTGGTTCCAGGTGAATCTATCTGCAAAACCTAATTGGTACGCAGACGGGTGTGTTTTGCTTATATGCCAAGTACTTGTATAAAGTGTGGGCTCAATGAACGCTTCAATAGCGGACATTCGAATTCAGAACCCCCCAGAGAAATAGATTTCAATTTTCACTAGGGTGCAGCATGCAGGAGACTTCTGACACCAGAAGAATGAAAAATAGAAGGTGAAGCAGATTCAGACACCGGGAAATCTTGATCACCATCTGCAGTATAGAAATAATTGAACATGTCGCTTTGTAGTACAGGTCAGAGTTGATTCCTACGCATAAGTTATCACCAAATTTGAGGAAGGTAGTACACCAAAAACCGTCAAAATTAAGGTGTGAATAGAGCAAAACTACTGGAATTGTCTGTTATGATGGGCGACAGTCTATTTCGAATTGTTTTGATGCACACCACTGTCCATCTGAATCAGCTGGTCTCGGAGCAATCGAATGACGATCGATCAGGCTTTTGATTTCCCAAGGACGCTTGTGATGGGAAGGGAATCGTGTCAAATCAAGCATTAAATAATCTACACAACTTGGTGAATTTTCGGCGGAGGTGAGCAATGTGGAATGGAAAAGGTGAGTAGTATCTTGACTGATAGGTGCAAATACGGCCGAGTCAACCTGCTTTCAACTGCTGGCTGAGCTGATTCCCCGCAAAATGTGAGTGCATTTGTCAAATTCAGTAAACTTTGGATTGCAGTATAAGACTGGGTAGATTGAAACTCGGGGATCGATTTATCTGATGAGATTAAAGGAGGGCGAAACAAGTCGTCGCCGGTCGAACCGTTTTCAGCAAACGCATGAATAGCTTCTTTCAATAAAATCCCAGTCCTTGATCACTGGTAGTGTACTAACGATTGGATATCTACGGCGTCCAAATTCAAGCTGTGTCCCTCTGCTTAATAACCCTTTAGATGCCGGTCACATTTAGTGTCTGAGCGGTTGCAAAGTTTCAGACCAAAGTGAAAAGATCTTCAATGTTAAAACTTTACTCCAGTAAACTAGAATATTCCAGCCGGTCATTTAGCCGTTTCATGATAAACCTAAACAGTTTTCACCCCATAGTCCATTAGAATAATCTCCATTTTCTCCTGCAAGATTCACGAATCTAAACGGATTAGACACACCATTAACTAGTGGACGTCAGCTATGTTGGAGGGGAAAGGTGAGTAGTATCTTGACCGGTAGGCGTGAATGCAGCTGAGTCAATCGATCAATAAACTTCTCTACACAGTATTTGTTTTTCAACCATTGAGGGACATAAGTCCCAACTAACTTCACCATATACAACATTCTCCAAGTGAATGCACCAAACAAAGGCCACCCATGGCTCGTTTCCTACGATATTGGAGATGTCACAAGATATGTTCATTTAAAAAATTTCCCCGAGTGTGCGAAAAAACGTCCGGCAACCCCCGTCAGATTTAACTCCTATTAAGGCACATTAAGTAGGTTCAATCGCCGAGTTTTCGTCAGTCTAATGTTCTACTTCAACCTAAATTGCACGAAATCCGACAAATACACTCATTTGGAAACCAGTTTGCCTGTAATGGAAGAGTGAATTGAACCCCGGCTGAATGAGCGCATTTGTTGAATTTCGTGAACATGAGGTTGATGGGAAATCAGAGAATACACCCACGTGATAACAGCCAGTGGTTGACGGTCGAAATATTTTCAACAACCGTGTGAGTGTAACGGTGATACTACTGATGGGGAGTCATGCGAGTACTATGTGTTGTTTTTGGAATTTCGCTTTGCGTAGCTTCCTCTCATTGAATCGCAGTCCTTGTTCACTAGTAACGTCATGGCGTAAGGCCTCCAAATTCAAGATGTGTTCATATGCTCAGTGTCACATTCAATACCTGTCTGATGCCATTGCAAACTTCTGTGCACCAACGAAAACGGTCGAGTTTTGTACGCAAAACAAAAAGAACAAATCTTCGTCTGTACTCTCCGCTGGAACATTCTAGCAAGTAAACTAACCATCCCATAGAGACTGG